TTGGATGGTGAAGAGCAGGCGGGTTTCCTCTTAGGGCACGTCTGTATAGACCACATATTCACTTTCCGGCAGGTGCCAGAGTAGCGTCACACGTACCGCACCCTGACACTACCTGTGTTCTTCGACTACAAACGCGTTCGACTCAGTCGATCGCTCTATCCTCTTCGACATATCTGCGTGGAAAGGTGTTCACATGTAATATGTAAACATCTCACATACCATTTACGGTCGAACCTGCTGTATTGCCCACCATCGGGATATTTCCAAAGTAGACAATTAACCGATATTGACATTTGTCCAAAAGGGAAACAACCATTGCATTATTTTACAGAATATCATTTGCAGTGTAACTTGCTAAGAAGTATAAAATTGTTACTTAAAACAAAAGGCGTTTATTCGAAAGATCATGACCTATAATTTAAAAATTACGTTAAAGCCATAAAAACTGGCGCTACTGTAGATTTTTGCCGAGAAAACAATCCAACCTGTTGTATACTATTTCGAGCTGCTACTCCAGTCACTATTGCACTGAGGAACTCCAATTTGGACAAGAAATCGTTGCCTAGCCCATTCGAAAGTCCATCGCTGTACAGATCATTCACATAGTTCTTGTCACTTGAATGCGACACGCACAGTTTGATGTTACTCACGGAGGCGTCTGGTACGTCATCCTCTGAGTCGCTGCCTTCTGTCTGTTCTAGTCAATTCTCTGAAATTTTACTGACGTTTTCATCTTCAACCGTTGTCTGATCTGAGGTACATTCCACATCGTTGTCAATGGCCACGAACTCTTCTGTATTGATGACTGGGAATGTGTAAGCGCTGATCTCGTCCTCAGTGATGACGGCGTCATCGGATCGTGCATCGGAAAGCAGTCGACTGAAGCCTGCATGCCTTAGGCATGTTTTTATTTTTACACCGATAACCTGTCTTCAACCTTTTGAAACCTATCGAATTGCATCGAGTACAGAAATCTTGGCGCTGATATCCACCGCCAATGATGAATCAGATAACACATTGTTTTCCATGTGATAAAGGATCCGGTCCACAATTTCTTCTGCAACAGATTTTCAGATTCATTATCACACCTTGATCCATGGGTTGAAGAATGCTGGTCATGTTTGTCGATAAAATTCCATTTGAATGTTTTTCAGGCCTACCTGTGGATGCGCTGTGCAATTATCCAAAAGCAACCTATATTTTGGCCTAGTTTCTCGTCCCATTCGTAGATCCACCCGGTGAAAAGTTCTTTCTTCATTCATACATTTTTGTTAGCTCTGTAATATACGGGAATTGGGTCCACCTTCACGCCATTAAAACATCGTGATTTCTTACCTTTTCCAATCAAAACAGTTTTTTTTAATCCGAGGCTGACATATTCGCGCAGCACAGCAGAATGGTCCTATCCATGACGTTTCCCGATCCGCTGAGCCCTGGAGTTGCTTGGTAAAAATCACCTGGTTCGTCTGCATTATACACGTTGTCATCATCAAATGCATTTACAAGTTCAGGCGCATAGAAACTGACGTCAGCTCACGCATCGCAATGACCAGAGCTGCCTTGTTGAATCTCGGTATCTTTGGCGACGGAAGGGAATTTCCCTCCATCGTGTATACGAGGCAACAGTGAGTGCCGTTCTGCTCTATGGGAGTGAAACTTAGCCCCTTCGGTCTGAATATCTGAGGCGCCTTCAAGTCGTCCCTGTCTACGGAACGTTGCTAGTGTCGCATGTCACTAGGGTGTCCGCAACGATGATGTGCGTAGGGAAGTGCTAGGCGGTGGTAATCAGGCCAGAGATAGCACTGCATAAGTTGCGTTGGCTTGGACACGCGCTACATATGTCCGGTCATCGTTTACCGAAGAGGGCCTTGTTTAGTCTGCCAGGTGTAGGGTGGTGCAACTCTCGATGTGAGCAATAGGTGACTTGACAGCGGAAAATGAAATCACGATTCCATAATTCTTGTAGCTCGGGTTTGTTGTTCAGTAGTTGAGTTATTCGCTGATCTGTGTACTTGGATTGCAGGTGTTTCGTCACCAGTCGAACTGACATCGATGCGGCAGGTGTATCGGTTTGATAGCAGGTGCTGGCACGAGGAAAATCCGGACTCGCTTTATACCACAACCGGTTAGGTAAATACATAATCCGCTGCCTGTTGTCAACTGTTGTCAGTAATCGCCTCTCCAGAGTAGGTCTCAGTCGTGAGATTTGACTGTCGCATGCACTTATGATGATTCACAAGTGGTGGCAACGGTCGCTTTTCGCGATTCATCTGATTCCACCATCATTTCACGTGGGAACCCTTTCTTCACTTGGGACACACTTAAATGGTTTGGATCACTCTCCATATTCTTGGATTGCAGAACCTGACATCGATTTGGGTCACACTTTACACTAAACTTAAGCTATTGATCACCTCGATGAGGCTGAAAATCCAAATGTTTGGTGTTTTACTGGACGGCAGATTTCGTGATTGTTTCTTTTCTTCAGCAAGTTATTCCGTACTAGGCTTTTCATTATCCTGGGGTTCTCTTAAACCAAAATCAATTTATACCCGGTGTCACATGTGTCGTTCACGACGGTGAATAAACTAAACGTACAATGGCGTCACACGCGGTCCCGAGTTTTCTTTTTGTCTAAATTTTCCCCACTTTAAAATAGGGTGTTTGAGATTGGTCTTAGCACATGTTGTTGGCGGGAATTATTCCCTCAAACCTGCGCAGGTACACAGTGTGCGTATTCCAACTCCCCAAAACGTCTGTTAGTTCCCCATCCATTTGCTTCGATGTTCCTTTTTTTGTCCTTTGACACATTCCATGGACTCCTGGATAGCACTAGTAGTGAACTGACACGACGCGGATGTTTGGACATCGTGGTCCAGTTGGTTTTCTGCACGTGTTACGCAGGCGCACATTTTCGTAGGGGAACTTCGGCCTCATCAATAACTGCGCTGAGTCCAATTGTAAGGACTCGCATCGCGATGATCAGATTTTGTCGAAAAATTGTTTTTATTACTCATGAGTAGGAAGATTTTAGTTGTTATTTTAATATATTGTTGCTTCTGTTAGTTAACATCTGTTGCTCAGGGTGAACAACCCTGTTTCACTTATGAATAGCCTTAGCATGGAATCCACTCAAACTTTGGTTCGCATTCCGCCACACGACATGCTCTCGTGTTTTGAGTACATTTGGAGGCAGCTGTACACCTGAATTACATAGGCTTGGGCTAACGTACGCGATGAGACTCCCACTAAGCCTATGGAGCTATTCCCATTGCTCAAGCCGGCACAGGTGTTGGTCGTCAAATGTGTGAAGAATATCATCTTTCACATCTAATCGAAACCACCTTATGGTGTCGTTGTGGTCCCACCGTTCGGATCCCTCTAACCGGACGTGGTAACCTCATCATTGTGTGACGACATTGCTTCGTGAGCCAACCCTTGAGAGATTAGCGTTTTGACTCACACTGTCCGAACATTAGCCTTTGCGTGCCCTTCTCATGGTCTCAAAAATAAGAAAGTGTTGTAATTGCCTGTGAAAATGTTATACCCCCTTCCCCGCGTATTTCTTCATCATACCCACAGAGGTTAGACTTGCGTTGTATACGTTGCACGCAATGTATGCATATACAAACACACACACACACACACATCTACACCCCTAGTGTAACCAGATGTGTCTACAGCCTTTATCCAAAGTTTACCCTTTGTCGCACCATCGTTTGTGTTGCTTCTTTGCGGTAATGCCTTCTGTCACTGATGTATCCCGGATGAAGCAGTCGAACTGAAGTGGCGGTTAGTTTTGATTTCAGATATTATACTCCCCCTCACCACACAGCTACTTGTCGTGCGAGAAGGTAAGGTGCGGGCCAAAGTGGCAAACACCACTAGTCCCCTTACAGCGGCATAAGCTATCTTGGGAGTTGTATAGGTACTTGGTTACTGAGTAGTAGGGGGATTTGTGTTTTGAAGATTCGTCGCAACTAGACGCAGACAGACAGCCACCACACTTCCACAATAGCGCTAAACAATCGTTTCGTCTTATTGGAACTCGTCAGTAGCGCGCACTCGCCGAATCCTGTCCGATTCCAGTCTATGACCTTAGTCTTACGAGCCAGAAACTTATGCCAGTGAGCGATGGGTAACGGCAAAAGTTGCTGGCTCGTAAGTGTAAGGTCATGGGTTCGAATCCGGTAGGATTCGGCGGCTGCGCGCCACTGACAAGTCCCAATAGGACGAGACGGCCGTCCGGCGTTTTCCTAGATGTTAGTGGCTGTCTGACTGAGTCTAGTTGCGATGACTCTTCTCCAGAAGTTGATTAGTCTTGCTTGAACTTACCGGTCTTTGGATTCCATTGGATGGTGGTTGGTTTTCGCGAGCCACTGATAATGTTTAAAAGGTGGAACTGACTGTAATACGCTTCTCTGCATGTGCAACAGCTATCTGGATCTTGCTTTCGCGACTCTATTATCAAATTGGTTAGATTTCTATACCTCACTATCTCACTTGTCTTTGTCATCTGCTTTACTGAAGATTACCTACCTGTTTACCGTTATAATAAACTCGTCTTGTTTCTCGTTTTCCCTTGCATATCGGTCAGTTAATCTCTCATAGATGATTCCTGGGGGCGTGCACCCTGTCACTTTTTCAACCTATACCCTGGTGCACTGCTATCTCCATTTTTGGCGTCAAACTGCCGGAGATCGTTAGACGGTACGAGGTGGTTCTGTTGTAGGGTTTCAAATATCGATTTCCCCCAGAGTGTGTTGCGATTCAGGCCTTCTCAGGCTGAAACATCACTCATTATTGTCCAGGTAACTGCAAATCTGTATTGTTTTAAACAGGGGTTTGGTCCACGCCTTTTTAACGATGCACTTTTCTGTCATTACTTAACAGGCAAACAGCAACGACAATACATCTAATCTTCGTTTTTATTTCCCCAGTCCACCTACCGACCAGTTCCCGAAACCCATTTGAACGTCTGCCGTAAGTGGCATACGAGAATGCTGAAATTGGCTCGCTCATCCTACGAAGAGGTACTGGACGTTGGCCGCGGTGTCACACATAGCACTGTCTCTTCCACCTGTTCGTCTACCATCCTAGTCCAGTTGGATGATTGCCTGGGTGCACCGCAACCTGATTTGGACAATTTCAAGCGAAAAGAACAAGCGGTAGAGGAATCTTGGTTATGCCACTATATGGTGGCTAAATGTGCCGAAAAGGAAGCTTACATCACTGGGTCCAAAAGTTACGGCGTTCATGGAATTGCACCCCACCTACTATCGATACTGCGTGCGTACAATCTCGCTCTGGATGCTCTCAATGCAGCTGGGGCCAAATACCCGAAGAAAATTATCATGTATCACAAGCTGCCATTCCGTGCAGTGGAATCTATCGAGGTTGATTTCTTCTCTTAGCTTGAACACCTTGATATTTGTTGTTGTCTACGCAGCCTTCTTTTTGGAACACACCATATCCATGCTGAGCGATTCTATCTTCTCAACATCTGACTTTTGTTGCGCCTGTCTTCACACGCTAAGCGAAAACTAAATCACATTCGGTTCTGTATGATCTTACTTTCAACGTAGCTTTTCTGAACATGGATCTATCCGATACAGCCGCGCAACCCCGCTATAACCAAACACCCATCATGTACATTCTTTGTTGTGGGTTTCAGCATTTTAAATCGCACATCAGGAAGGTACCGTTCGCACAGTCAAGTAGGAGAGATCTTTCGAAACCAAGCCGATTCTTCAGACTGGTGAGAGCCGAGTCAGTCTTGTGACGAGATGTCTATGCCGCCTTTTAAGTCCTTGGTTATTCTTCAAATGACAGTTGAAACGGCGTTTAATTTAAAAATATCAGTTTCACGCCTCAGGCACCCTACTTACCGTAAATTCATCGGGCAGATATTTTTCTTATAACCGACCTAAAATATATCAGTGGCGGTGACGTCATCCACAGCCTACTGTTTTCTGTAAATGCGTAGTTTAGTTTCACTGGCCTCCCGTCGACGAGTGGCGGAATTTTTGCCTCATTGAATAAGGTTACTCAGCGGTCGCCGGTGGTATGTGTCTGACTTTCGTCTCAAAGCACAGAGAATACATCTTTCTTGAACTACCCAGACTCAATTACGCCTTTTTGCGGTACGTTCGATCCTACTATACGGTTGCGAAACCTGGCCCATTAGATCAATGGACATGAAGAGGTAGTTATTTTCGACCACCGGTGCCTTCACAATTTAGCTCACATCTGGTGAGAACACCGCGTAAGCAACGAGCGCGTTCGACGCCTTGTTTACAGCACAGGAAAAGGAAATGAACCGCTCAGCACCGTTATTTCACGCATCAGGCTCCGATGGCTCGGCCACGTGTTACACATGCCAGCCCACCGACTCCGGCGACGTGCGTTGTTTGCGCGTCGGGGGTGTAGATGGAAGAAGAGGAGAGGTGGCCAAGCGATGACTTGGTCGAGAGGAATGAAGGCCCTCACTTCGGAGCTGGCCTCGGTTGGAGCGTCTCGGCTCCCTGGTTGGGGTCCAAAAGACGGTGAACACGTTTGGCTGGATACACTTGCTGACATGGCAAGGAGCCGACCTCAGTGGTGTTCGTGCTGTGAGTCCCCCCCCCCAATCCCTCTTAGCCTCCCCCTCCAACCACGATCTCATTATTTAGTATTTTATAATTTTGCATGGTAAATTATTTTTTTGCTGCATAGTAGCCGGCTGGTAGCTTACCGGAACGATTCCCATCTGTTAACGGTAGCTCAGCTGGTTTGCGCCTGTAGTATTTTTTCTCATTTTTTCTTCTATGTATTGCGGCACAGTAGCTGTGGTGTTTCCCACCTCTAGCTAACGTGTATAATGACGAGGATGGTGACTGTTTGAACACTTCTCTGAGACCTCATAGGGTTGTAACTTGTGAGACCGTACTAACGTACTCTTAGTGACCCCACCTCTTCGGAACACTGATGTGAGTGCACACGCATTGAACCCATCCATTCGTGCACCCTACCGTTTTTCTGTTTATCTCACACCTTTGAGCCGCAATATTTGGATCGATGCGCAAGTGCCATATAAAACACCTCTAGTTGATGTATGCGTCATTTTAGATCCATACTTGGAACCAATTGCAGGCTGCTAGTACGGGATTGCGCTGGACGTGGAAATTGTTGAGGTTCATGCATTTTAGTATTGCCACTTGTATGTCCCACCAATGGTCTCTACTCCTCCGCTTTTTTATGGTTTCAGTTGCGTTTTTATCGTATTTGTAGTTCTTTATCTTTTCTTATTCAGATCCATTTACTTCAGCCGTTACTAACGCTATTGAGATAGGAGAAGACGGCACTGGTTATTGCGTTTTCGCTGTCATTCTTTCCTAGACTTATCTTTCTGACTTCCACGTATTATACGTAATGATTACGCGGCTCATGATAACCATTTGATTAGTTACCCGGCCTGCGTAAGTCACTTTCCCAGTAATCTGGTCCGCGCCAGTTGAATTTTCCAGTTATCCGGCCCGCTGTGAAAAAAGTTTGATAACCCCTAATCTAGTGGCATTACCCACTGGAGTTGAGAGTCCATGGGTTCAGTTCCTGTTGTAGCCGACTGATTCACACTACTCATGAGCCGTTAGACGAAGAAACGACATTTTACTACCTTTCCGGACTAGCGGGGGACTATCTGATTTAGGATCTATTGCGAATAACTCTCGATTAATTATTGCATTTAGTCCTCTGGTGGAATGTGATTGGGTTTGAACTGTGCATGTTTTATGTTCGTTGTACTGCGTATTGTAATTTCCATTTGAATTGCTCCTCAGGTGTATTACCGCATCCATGCCCTCGCTCTCAAAACTTTACTGCATTATGGCCTACCTGGACCATTAGAATCAAAGACCGAGTTACCTCTGGCTGAGCTGTATGCGTTTCTATTGGGGCTCCAGTCGAGTGAATTCGTGGCCAGCGCTGGAAAGCCCAAGTCAGTTCCGGTTTGTCCGTCCGAACACTTTTTATTCAGTATCGTTCCAACAGTGTTGCCTCCCGGTCGAAATCATTAAGCCATATTCGTTCGCTACTGGATATACTTCTGAAGCCACTATCCTAAGCATCGCTCAGCATTGCATCCAGTTTAGACGGCCTTTGCATACGTCTCAAGTCTAGGATCAGTTTGTTTAATCGTTGGAGCAGTCAGTACTTTTGATTTGTATTCAGCCTCGGTTTCCTTTCACTCCTTGGGTTTATTTTAGGCGAGGTAAAAAGCGAACAGCCACCGTGGCAGGAATTGCAAACAAGGGGGGCTCCATCGCTCCTTTGAAATCTCTCAGTTCGCAGTGCACTGCCTACAAAGAAAAAAGGCCAGCTGTGTCGACTGGCTTAGAGGTCGCTGCTAACGATGTGTGTTCTCTGGACCCCGGCACCCTCGAGAGATTACCACACTCTTCATCGCAAGATGAATTCATCGATCTAACTTCCCCCGAGCCCCATCTCCCGATGGACGATGAAGAATGCCCTCCCGAGGATCCGCATCCGCTGAGCACTGCAAAAACCCCTTCAGGTCAGGCGAATTTTTTTTAGTACATTATCGGAGTTCAGAGATTCACCTTTCTCCCGTCTGTTCCATGATCACTTGTTTCTCCATCCCATGGTTACTTTGTAGCTTTATGGCGGGAATGCGTGAATTTATGCCGCGCCGCTTTAGAATTGGTACTCCAACGTTTGCCGCTCCATTACAAGGCGATGTTCCGTCTGGCCGACTTGTATTGTCGAGCACCTCATTTGCGGGTTTGTTCTTCTTCCGCTTTTTCATCTTCTATGCCAATAAGCGTTAATCTCACGGTATCATGTGTTTGCTCTTAAGCATCAAATCTCACTGACGTCTCTTGATCGCTTAGACGACAGGGGGTTGTATACCAGAGTATTTCACCTTGGATTACAGTTCATGCATAAACTTTCACACTTTCACAACTCACGCAAACGCATTCGGCTTGTCGTCTTCGATCGGTGGCCGAAAAAATTGCGCGGGATTACTGTGTAACTCTGTGGGGGCCAGTTCGAATCCACGTGTGTGTGTGTGTGTGTGTGTGTGGGCGACATTATGGCGTACTACTCGTGCCTTTTTTGGCCTATGCACCTACATCGAGTCTAACCGACAACTGATAAACTTGATATTGCAACTCTTTTCAGCGTGGGCGCTTTTCTGTTTGCTGTTCTTTGGTGAACCAAGTCATATGAGCTATGGTTATTGAGCAAACAGGGCCCTGTCTACAGTCAGTAACCATGAGGGACGAGTGAGCGATAAGAGTACGAAGCACGTACGTCTTTCTTTGTAGTCTTAACTTCGCTGCGACTCAACGCACCAACGTCGGTGACATTGGAATCTGGTGATGGCCATAAGCACTTGTCATCTACCATATATCTTGCGATTTCATAATTAACATGTGTTAAGCTCGGTTGGCACTGTCTTGTCTTCGATCAAGTGGACACCACTCCTCCAACCCTCTTAGTCTTTTTCTTTTGAGCTCTTTCTCGCATTGTAGCTTCTGCTCTTATGGCTGCCCTTGATCCAGTGTCTCTAAGGTTTATGACCTCCTTGCTTTGTAGGACGTGTCCAAAGCTTTGGCTATCCTTCTTGGCCCTCTGGATGAAACGACCAAGTCCACCATCGGTGGACTATTCAAGGACCGGAAGCAAAATAACTTCTTCCACGTAAGTCCTCAGTGGTTTTCCTACCTCATCCCTACATTTCAGGGTGTGTGGCGTATTCCCACATCCGATATCGATCGCAGTGGCAATTTCGCTGCCCACATGTATCGTTCTGTGCATCTCACTTTGGATTTGCTACATGAATGTGGATATTGGCGTCATCTCGTGCATGTGTTTCATCAACTGCGCAAACAGCCGCCGGAAGAGAAGTAGGTCTTTTACTACTTACAAATACTTACAAATTGCTTAGGTTGCATGGGCGTTGATTTTTAATATGTGCCTAATACGTTTGGAAACTACATTTGGTCCCCCTGCATTCACAGGTCATCTCCCCTAACTCATGACTGTAGTTTATCGAAGAACCCAGATGCAATACTATACTATTTTTCAGCCAACGGCATCGGTACCGCTTTCAAATTCCTCTCTAAAGTATTCATGTTTCTCCATAGATCTCTCAAGATACTCCTTTATGCTTTCAAGTTGCATCCAATGGACGCAAACACTTCTGACAAATGCGTGCTGTTCATTATGTGACCAATCCAAAATATGCAGATATTACGACAGATGAGGACACATAGAGTGGGATGGTATTGCCCGATTTGTGTTTGGGATGTTCGTCCCTGCTGGATGCAACTTGAAAGCGTTAAGAACCATCTTGAATGATTTGTGGAAGTGTCATTTCCTTAGGGAGAAATTTGAAAGCGTATTGGATTTAATTGGCAGCGGAAAGGTATAGTGTGTTGATATCGATCGCGGTTTAATCTGTTCTTATACGCACTGCGATCGCCCATGGAACTGGCGTTCGCCTATCCTTTTTCTTGACTGAGTTATTGCCCTTTGCAGTTGTTTCAGAGCTAGCCTATCTTCTCATACCTTTTTGTCTTCCGATCGCTGCATACACTTCTTCCACCTTTGTGATTCACAGACGTGGATTCCTCGGTGAGAGTGACCGTGTGTACTTGGCCAAACGAGCGTTCAGTCTCATCCGCCCCACTCTTATGACATGGCTCACGCAGCTTTTGCGATCTATACCGGTGGATTTGGAAGGTTTGTTCTCTTCCGACCCTTCTGGTGCCTCACTTTCAAGCACATGTTCATCGGCCAGTTTCATCAACACGGAAACGTTGACTCAAATTTACCGGCTACATTGCGTGTCTTTCTCTCGTAACTCCCCGGCCACCATGTCTCCAAGCGGGACCGCCGAGTCAAAAGAATCTGGCCAAAGAGGTGCCACCTTCAGCGCACTTGAAGTGTCCGGATACGCTGAGGTTCTTCGCTTGGCCTTCAGACTTTGTCCTGCAGCTTGGGTACGTGATCTCCGTGGCGAATTGCTGCCTTACCGTCCTTTACTCACGATAGACCACATTGTAAATGTGAATTTTTCCTCAATTAGAAGGAAACGAACCATAAACTACCAGTGTGCACTATTACAGTTTTACTACGTGACTCACTTGAAAACATATCTTCCTCATTGCTCCCAACCCACTTGAAGACTGTTCCCTACCCATCAGAGCCTTTGTTCGTCGTCTGATCGACTCGGTGATCCGACCAGTTAGATGCACGCAGAACACCACAATCCTTCTTCAGCTCGTATTGGCCTTTTCCTTCAACGGCTCCGCTCTTCCCCTAATTTATGCATTATTTGACCACATGTTAAACATAAAATACCCTAATCTGAGGAACCCCGGCGCGGTAGACTTAACAGTTGGATTTCGGGACCTTTATTATTTTTATGCAGTCCGCACCTATGGATTTACTTACAGTCATCTGTTAGCTTGGACTATCTTAGCGCTTCACGGAATGATCTAACTAGCTGCCGCTTCTTCGCCACTCACCTCACCGTAGCCTAAGCGATTCGTATCATTGGCTACCTGGAGAGAACCACTCCCAGATTATGAGGTCAACTTTAGTTGCAGTTCCCCTTATTTCTCTTATGGCTACGCTCGTTCCATAGGATAAAGTTTCCGCTTCCGTGAACTCTTATACTATAGGTTTTATTCGTGTGTGCACTACTAAGGCCCATGTTACTGCTCGCTTGATTCATTATTACTGACCTCCCCGAATTTATGCTGTTTCCCCCCTCATGAGGGCTCTTCGGATGGGGCGGACATTTTTATTGCCTCTGCTCAGTGCCGGAATGTCTCAGTTTTCCAACACCGTCTTTGGGCGGATAGTGATGACATCGGTACATTAGAGGCGATGGTGGAGCGACGCACTGGGTGTGGGTCGCGAATGGTTAGGATATCAACATAACAGTCAGAAATCCTGACGCCAAACATTAATTGCATCCCATTACACATCTATTCCCAGCTCTTTGGAGATCTTTCAAAACTGTGGAATGACCTACTATCTTGAGATAGTCAATTCCTTCCGTCTTAAGGGTGCTTATGTTATCATTGCTGCTTCTTTGGCACTTTATCATCTAATCTGTGGGGAAAGCTTATTTAGCCGCGCTTTTGAAATTGCTTAGTAGACAGGCTCTTTCTCTGGTGCCGCTATTTTCAAACCCTGCTCAAACATTTGAGAGGACAACACATCCATACAACTCTATTGGCACTTCGTGAAACTCCTGCCTTTCTTTGTGCTAGGTAGTTTTCAGTTGTGAGGTAGCAAAAGTATTTCTGTTATATGTGTTTGCCATTTCACAATTCCAGTTTCCACTGCACCTGAGTATAACCATCTAGGTTTTTTGTTTTCAAGGATTCTCGCGGTGCTCACATTCCAATCGAGGGCATCTTGAAAAGGTGTGCAGAAATCGCCTCCTCACGATCTGCCTCAGTGGCTCACTCGGGTACATCAACGAAGACTGACAGCTGCCAAGCACCGACCAGTCCAGCTACCGTACGAGCAGTGTAATTTAGTCCGACAAACGTGAACGTTGTCCCACCAGAAATTTGCTATCATCCTGTGTTTTAGCCCATTTTGTCACCATTTTCTTCTTTTCTCGATTGTTCCACGACATCCCTCGTTTACTTTATACTTCGTTGTACATATCAGCATCTGGGGTTATCGATGGTAACCCGTCATGGTAATTATCTTTCTGGTGTCCTCAATTGTCCTCTGACAGCTTCGGTGTTAGTCCTTGTAAATACTTGTCCAGCTTTGAACGTATATGCGAGACCAGTGTTCAGTGTGCTCGATTGGCTAACTGTTTGTTCTACTCCTGTGTTACACGTATGTGCCCATCAAATTTCCTAACCTCATGCCGGGAGAGAATTTATTTTCATGCTTCTAATTTTTAACACACCTGTCTTCATTGTAAAGCCACATCGATGACAACTTCACAATTACCTCTCACGTGTGCACTTAGTGGGACGGTGTTTGCTATTACGCAGTTTTTGCTGAACGCTTCGGTGCCCATCTTAACTATAGTTAAAGACACCGGTTTTCCACGAAAGCGCAGAAAAACCACGGAATTCGTAAATTTCGCAAAACCGCAAAATTAATGCGAAATTCATAAAGAAATCATCTCTAGTTCCATCGCCGTTGCTAATGCTGTCTAGGAAGCCTGTGGCACGGTGCTATCTAACTTTCTACTTTGCATGGCATATGCAAATATTCCTATGGGAAAGGCCGGCAACTTCAAGTTGAGGAAATTTCTTTAAAGACACGTGCGAAATGATGGAAGTATTGCCGAAACTAACGCGCTACATATGAAAATACACCAGCTGTACGGAAACATAAACTGCTATTGAAAGAGATGTACCGTGCTATCTATGTCAGCGTCATAACAGACGGAACAACCGATGATTGCGGGAAAATGGGACTGCACATCCTGTTTTGTTCACCATTGAAGTCCAGCAGGGACAGTCTGTGAATACACCTCATCGATGTCGCCAACTTGGAGAGAGTCAATTCTGTCACAGTTGGACGAGCCATTCTGCACAGCTTGACGACTTGGGTCGTGGCACGGCTTTCATGTCCCATGGCGAATGCTGTGGAGACGTCAGTAAGCCTGTTCGTGAGGATGCAGCTCACATTAGATGTAGTGCCCAATGCATTGATTTTATTGCGGCGTCCTTTCGCGAAATCCCTCCGGAAGTCGATGGATTGGATACGAACATGAAAGTGCTTTTCATCTTTCGAGCAGAAAGTGACGTGTCTACATTGAGTAGCTAACTCAGGCAGGCGTGTATAACCCGGCCGGCCCACCTGTACCGGTCATTCACCCGCTAGGACACCTGGCTGGAAGCTGTCGCACATCACGGCAATTATTTCCATCATTACCCAGCCATGCCACAAGCTGTACAACACGAGTTTGGGGGCTCACATAGTGTTTGTGAACCGGGGGATATTCTAACCACAGCAACAACACAGAAAGCCTTGAAGTGGAAACTGAGTAACATTGCGACCGTTGGAAAGAACATCATTCTCATGGCAACTGCTGAACCACAGTCTTTGGTAACCCATAAGATTTACAACGACCTCTCTGATCTATCCCTGTCGTTGAGGAAAACTGGCTGCAGCACTTGCAGGCAGAGGAGAACTGACTTTTGACCCGTGTAGCAAAATACCAACTGACCTGCAACTCTGCTTCACCCAAGCTGCCAAAAGGACCATGAGTAGATGACATCTGAGGCTAGGGGCAGTTTCTAATATCCATTAGAGTGCTCGACCCCAATCAGCTCATCACCTTGGCCGGGATCTATGAAGCTATGCCGACGCTGCAGGCTTGATTGACTCCCTAGCTGTGGCAGCCGAATTGCTAACCTATTGAAAAGTGGTAGAAGAACTGCATGGATAAAAATAGGAACACGCACCGACCTTTTGGAGTGGAATGTATGAAAATAACCACATCTGGCAGACATTGCCGGTCGTTATCTATGCATTCCTGTGAATTTGGTGGACGCTGAACGGTGCTTCATTGCCTACGAAGATGTGTCTGACAAGTGTCACATGTCAGATGATAGCACGAAGCACCTTGTGTTTTACTTTAATTCCTCTGTTTTGACGTATTCGGAGAGTGCTACGCGGCCGATTCGTTCTATTGGAGCTCATCAATCGAGAGCATCGCCCGGATCTAGTGGTATAAGCAGCTTGCATTGTGGCTCCGATGCCTGCTGGGGTCGGCGGATGCGTGTTATTGGCTATTCGCAGTGGGACAAAACTGAGGTTCGTGCTTTCCTTTTGAGATATGGGCAGTAACTTGATTCACTGCCCACCTAGAGCTCACCTCGAATTGGCTCGGAAGCCACTCCGAAAGAGAAAATATCGTTCATGCAGGACAAACTTAACGAAAATGAGTATCCTCATAGATCTTTTTTAAAGAATGTCCAACAAAAACCGAAACCAGGCTCATTTTTTACGGGGCCGAAGAAAGAGCTATCGATACGGATCACTTTGAAAGGGGGCTTGACTACCAGGCGTTTAACCAAAAGTTGTCGAGTCGAGCCTCCCCGGAAGCTGTGCTAAGGTGCACATTTTCAACGAGACCACTCGTTTGTTAACGAAAAAATGATAAATTGCCCGTACTGATTGCCTCTATGGTTACTTATCAGCTTAGTTGTGCCTGTGGCGCAGCGTACACTGATCACACGGTGCGCCACGTGCCCAGAATGTGTGTATGAACACGTGGCAGGATGCTGAACCACTTGTCTTGCCGCAGCAGCATTCCAAAGCCAATCTTGTCTCGACCGATTTTATAGCACTCCTGAGTAGTAAGTTTTTAGATGTAGTCTTTTTTAAGACATTCATCCCAGTAGCTTACAAACTGCGTAGCACAGCCTAGTCTGGAAAAGCACCAGGCGCGTTTGGCCCTATTGGGGCTCGTCAATGGTGCCTATTTACTCGGTCCCCCACTGGGGATCGCACCCATGACCGCTAGAGCCAGGTACCAACTAGCCTGCAGATTAAGCCATGGGGACGTCGGCTAGGCAAGCGCCACTTATTTTCCATTGTCACCGACAGTGGCTAGTTTGCGAGGTGATGACGTCCTCTCGCTAGATGCTATATCCAAAGCACTTTTGAAACGATTTTACCTACTCATGTTCCTTCCTGCACAGAAGTTGCCTCGAAATTACTCAACGTTGTCAGCCCCCTTTCGCATCGTGTACGGTCTAAATGTATATTTACTTCGACCAGACGAAAGCACAGAGCAACACATGCCCGTACGTAGGTCTACGGATTGTCACATTCCCTATCTAGTCAGATATCTGCTTGGCCATGGGGGGCTATGCATTGCTATTGTTTTGCTACCAATGCATTATTATAATTTTACCACATCGATGGCGTATGTATTATGGCTGAGCATTCGCCCGTCCTGGTTACATAAAAACGCATTCCTACCTTGATTTGGTTGCGCTGTGATGCTGGGATCATTAGAAACTCCGTTTAGGTTTATGTTGTCATAAATAGGTATCAGTTGAATAGAAAGCGCGTGTGTGCGTGTGTAATGCCCCTCATCCATCAAGGTGTGTGCACCTTCGTTTACTTGCGACAACTGAATGAATTTGCATTCGATTGATTCAACCATCTCTGTGCTCCCAGACGAAGCTTATCAAGGCTCTGCAATTTTCTTGACAATGTAAACGGAAGGCGCTGAGGTCAGCAGCCTTAAGTCAAACTCCGCAATACTCACTCAACCTCTTGTGACATAGGTCCCTTATTGGCCTCATAGCCTGACGCACACGTGTTCTTTATAAGCCGCATCATCAACTGCCTTCTTCGGGGCTTCACCCAACTGGATTCTGGATTGGCAAGCAATACATACCGATTAACTGGGATGTGAACAGCCTGTGTAGACGATTCGAGTTCGATGAATACTCTAGTGCTGCACTACAAAATTTTTATGTCGCCATACGCTAGCTGACGTATCTTGGTATTGTTCGCCCAACGTTCTCGCTATATAGGATATATGATCATTACTTTGTGGGTCCACAGTGGTATATATATATATATATATATGCATTGGAGCAATACTTTCTAACGAGTAAAAGCCCAAATCCTTGATAGGTTCCGTATGATGATTCTGGTAAACATTATAAGCGCCGAACAACCTTCCCGTGGAGCCAGCTGGGTAGTTCGGGTATATCTCGTTCCAGCGAATGGTTCGGGGGAGATGTTCCAGGAGGTGATAGTTTTCCGTCTGGCAAGCATTCTCTCTATAAAATGCTACTAGTATCTGTAAAAAAAAACTGCGACATGGATATGACTCACTGTCAGATAAGCCACTGCTCCTTACCTCTCCAAATGATCTTACCTAACCTGCGGACGTCGTTCCTCTACCTTGAAGTTTTTCTTGAGCCCTTTCGCACTCTGACGATCCGACAGAACACAATCAAGAATACAGAAGCACAAATACAAAGATCACCACTACATACACCTACTTTCATATATGTATTCATGCAACTTAAATTCACTATAACCGGTAAAGTTGTATCGTTTCTGCACATGTACCGGTCATTCGTGTAGTGCTACCCTGATCCGGCCCACGAAGGCATGCCTCGCGTTGTCCAGAATATGCCATTTATTTATCTATTTATGGTGCATAACTCAACAGTAGGCTTGCTGTAGCATACATGTGAGTATTTCTGCCTGGATTTTAGACGGGGTCTTATACCGTCCACTGTTCGCTCTGCACTAGGCCCGTCAATTGATGGTCACGTGTAAATGTGTACACATAGAACTGTGATATTTTCTTTTTACCCATTCGCTACGACTACATTTTCGGATAGTGCATACTCAGCTGGAATTGGACTCCTCATTGGGAACGAGAGCGTAACTAACGAACTTCATCTACTCGGTTCTTTATCGCATCGTCCATATACCTCACTCGAGAACGGGAATACCTTTTGCCAAATGGATTGATTGCTAAGATTTAAGAGATGCTACTTGTATCAAGCGCGGAAGGTGTCTGG